CCCGTTCGATTGTGGGTGGAAGGGTGGCGACCTCATGTGGACGATCGCGTTTCTGCGACAGAAGACGACAAATTCAGATGAGGTAAATTGTGTTCCATTGTCCGAAACCAACGTGTGGGGAACACCGAAACGAGAAAATATCTGTCGAAGAGCGGAGACAGTGGCTGCTGCTGTGGTTCTCACCATTGGAATCACCTCCGGCCATTTACTGTGGGCATCGACAACAATGAGAAAATGGTGACCATCAATTGGACCTGCAAAGTCGATGTGTACCCTTGACCATGGTTCCGTTGGTATTCGCCAGGATTGCAATTCCGTCTTCCTTGGTTGTTTTGATACACTAGCACATCGGGGACAATTCTTGGTTAAACTCTCGATCTGGGAATCCATATATGGCCAATACACATAGCTTCGTACCAGGGATTTCATGCGATTCATTCCCGGGTGGCCAGTATGAAATTGTCGGAGGACTCTATCTTGAAGGATGTGTGGAATGACGACGCGATCTGAGAACAGCAGGCAGTTTCTGACGACCGATAGTGCTTCCTTCCGTTGGTGGAATTGTTGAAGCTCCGGCGTTGTAACTCTCTTAGGCCATCCATTGAGGTGGAAATCAATCACTTGTTGAAGGGTAGAATCATGCTGGGTCGCTTCCCGCACCATTTCGAATGTTACTGGTAAGGCACCGAAAATATCAGACACAACTTGCTGTACTTGGGGTTCTACGGAGATTTGAGCAACTACCAAATCCTCTGGTTCTTGATGTTGTGTACCAATTAAACGGGATAACGCATCTGCTTGACCAATGTTGTGTGTAGATTGATATTTGACGACGAAATCGTAACCAAGTAGAACCGTTGCCCAGCGTTGGAGACGACTGGCCGTGCAGACCGGAATGCCTTTCTTTGATCCAAAGATTGCGACCAAGGGTTTGTGGTCAGTAAACAGCGTGAATTTTCGGCCGTAGAGCATTTTGTGAAATCGCTTGACTGCAAACACTATGGCTAAAGCTTCTTTCTCGATTTGTCCATAGTTACGTTCCGCTGGGGTGAGTGATCTGGCCGCATGCGCCACAGCTTTCTCCGAACCATTGGGGAAAATGTGGGATATGACTGCTCCAATTCCGTAGTCTGACGCATCAGCAGCAACTACGATCTCCAGCTCCGGATTGAAATGCGTTAGCAATAGGTCAGAACACAATATAGACTTGACATTATCAAATGCGGCTTGACATTCAGGAGACCACACAAATTTGCGATCCTTTACCAGAAGTTCATTGAGTGGTCCTCGTAGCCGATGCATTTCGGGCACAAAAGAGCTGTAATGACTGATCAACCCCAAGAATGATCTGAGCTTCGCCACATTGTCAGGTGGAGGCATCTGTCTTATGGCGCTTATGTTGGAAGGATCCGGACGACGGCCATCCTTGTCGATGATGAAGCCAAGATACTTTACACACTTCATGCCAGTATTGCACTTTTCTGCTTTCAAGTGGAAACCGTAGTCGTTAACGCGGTGGAGAACTGCTTCCAGTCTTTCCGTCAGCTCTCGGAAGGTAGACGCTTTGATTATGATGTCGTCCAAGTAAGCTGCGACTCCTGATAACCCAGCTAACATCGTATCCATAATTTGTTGGAAAATCCCGGGAGCTGATTTGACACCAAACGGCAAACGGTTGAACTGGTATAAACCTCGATGCGTATTGATTGCCAGCAATTCCTTTGAAGCATCGTCGACTTCAATTTGAAGATAAGCATCTGATAAATCTAGCTTTGCAAAGTAAGTGCCACCACTGAGCTTAGCAAATAAATCTTCTGGGACTGGCAAAGGATACTGGTGCATTTTCAATGCAGCATTCAATCCCGTAGAGTAGTCAGCACAGATACGAACGGCTCCATTGGTCTTCTTGACGACAACAATAGGTGCTGCCCACGCTGAGTAGTTCACAGGTTGGATGACGCCTGCCCGCTCCAAACGATCAAGTTCCGCATCAACAATCGGCAGCGCAGCGTACGGTACCGGTCTTTTGGGTCGGAATACGGGTTTGGCACCGTCTTTGAGAGTAAGGCTTGCTTTGGTCTTTGTACATCTTCCCAAGTCGTTGCAAAACACAGCCGGGAATTTCCTTCGTAGCTGCTCGATCAGGCTGATGTTTGGTCCGTCACCTTCTGAAGAGGGCCTCGTATGTCCGAGCCGGAGGGTATTGCATACTTGACTCAGGGGGATGTCGAACAGGTGGAGCTTCTGGATCCAGTCGAGTCCAAGAAGATTCAAATGTGACAGGCCCGTAATGTACACGACACCGTTTGCCCGAGTAGCGCCAAAAACCATTTCACACTGCAACTCACCAATGAGATTAAGTTGATCTCCTGAAGCGTTAAGTGCAACATGTGTCGTTCGGTTGATTGACGGAGCACCAATATTTTGCCAAGTTTTGCTGGAGATAATTGTGATGTCCGAGGCTGTATCAAGCTGAAGACGCACTTGATGCCCGTTCAGGTGAACTCTGACGTACTTTCTGCGAGCCACATGTTCATCAGAGTAGGCCGCTTGAACCGTACTATAGTTGCTGAATCTTTTGGGAACCGTTGAATGCGGTCGCGTATGTCTTGCACGCTTGAACTGCGGTCTGCATCGGCAGTGCGTTTCCTTATGGCCCCGTTTATGACACTTGTGGCAAACGTGTTGCAGGAATGGACACACTCGAACAAAATGCCACTCACCACATCTCCAACAGGCAGTCGGCGGCTTGGTATTCTGTCTGGGCTTTTCCTGGCCTGTTTCACTTGAAAGCGGTTTCTTTGAGGTTGTCTTTAATACACTAAGATTTGGAATGGATTGTTGTTTCTCCAGCATAAGAGTGTCATGCTTGAGGTTCAGCAATCGTTGGCATTCAGTAGTTATGGTCTGTAGAGTCATTTGCTGGTCTTGTTCAAGTTTACTCAGCAGCCTGGTGCGAATCTCTGCATCCCGTGGGGAATGTAGGCCACAGATAAAAATCAGGCATTTGAATTGATCTGCCGTAATGGATTTGATGTCGAATTTTTCACACTCGCGATTGACGATGCCAGCATAAGTGACGTAGTCATCAGCGTCTGCCTTGGTGATCTTCAGGCATTGATATCGTGTGTTGAAGATGGATGACTGCTCTCCAAATATTTGGCCCAAGCATTTGACAGTCTCCTCAAAAGTGCAGTCTCGAGCGTTCTTAGGCAAAATAAAGTTGACATACCTGGAGTGCTCTGCTGTTCCAAGTTTCCTTAACAGCAATCGGACTTTCCAATCGTCATCATGGTCTCCAAGTTCAACGCGGAATACATCTTCATAACGCTTGAACCAAGATTCAAAAGTTAGGCCAGCATTGGGGTCGTACGAAAATTCGGTAATGCTGTTAGTGATGGCGTCTACCGATGCGGACGGCTTGGCGTTTGTAGACAGTGAACCGGTCTGGATTGAGAGTTGGCGCGTAAGAGTTTCGATCAGCCTGAGTTGGGATGCCTCAAATTGTGCTTGTTGCTGCAGTAGAATGGCCTTGAGCTCGTCAGCCGATATGGACATATTGATTAGGGTTCAAACCGTCGCCAGTTGAAGTGTTCGTCCCTTGCCTGAATGGACGCTTGATTCCCAATCAAACCCGAAGTCGCTGGCCCCCCACAGGACAGAGAGAAGACGAATCGGACGAGCAGGGCAACAGGAATGAATTAGCAAATCACATCGTTCATTATAAAGGTAAATTGGAAAGTTCGTGAACAATATATTTAAAGCGACCGTGGAAAGCTCTGGAAAGGTTAACTTACAGCCAATAAAAGAACTTCAACCTAGCGTTCATTGGCCGCTTCTCCTGGTTGGCTCTCTGTTCGCCCCAATCAGGGCGGATGGGTTTGGATAGCCGGCCGAGGCGATGGGGTCCTGGCTTGTTCGACTCGTGTATTCCTTCCTAACAACAGCAATTGTCGCATACGCGCAAAGAGTGAAGGTACCTCGTTGCTCTATTGGTTAGAATATTCTCGACCATTTAGTCAAGAGCGTCGATAAATAAGTGTACAGCATGCTGAGTAGGCTTTCACAAGTAATATTCGTGGGTCCTGACTGGCACCCAAAAACCTACAATGTTTGTATCGTATGCCATCGATGTGTTGGTGATGTGGTTGAAGTCAACTGGATTCAACTATCATTCATTGGAATGTAGAGAGCAGAAGGAAAGAACTTTGTCAGCTCCCTCACCTCCCAATCATAGTAGGTGCTTGCGCAACAGCAATCAACAAGTCGGCCGGTGGCCGAGTGGTCGGCACGTTTGCTTTTCAACCATAAGGTCACCGGTTCGAATCCGCGTAGGGGTGGGCGTCCTCGCGGTATACTCAGCCCGCGCGCGACTAGTGGTGGTCGCGCGGCAGCGAAGCGCCGTTACGGCGTATAAGCTGACACATTTCATTTTCATTTATTATTTTTTCAATCAACAAGTTAGATTGTCGCAGACGCATAAAAAATAACAAGATCCCTGCAAATTCAAGAAGCATAAATCTAACAATCGTTTAAAACATTCCTCAGTATGCGCGCTGACGACGAAATCAGGCAAGCAGTTCCAGTCGTTCATCACACGAATCTATAGGGTAAAATCAGAGTGAAGCCTGAGTCTCCTAAGTTTAAAGTTTCCAGCAGTGGCCTCGAGTGGAACACTCAGTGTTAAGCTGGAAGAAACCTTGAAGCTCGATTCCCATCTCGCCTAGCAGAATGCGCCGAGCGTAGATCAGATCGCCTCGGCGACGCCGATATGCCAGAGAACATTCAAGTGCTGGAGACGAATATGAGATGGCAGGTGTCGAAGCTCAAAAATGTACTTAGAACCGCGTCGCTGAAATTCCTCAATCAAGCCATGTTCAAAGTTTGTAAGCGGATGAACTGCGGGTAGTCCATATTCGAGGATTGGACGCACATGGGAAGAAAAAACAATTCCGTAGAGAACGCAGTTGACAAACTGAACTGATAAGAAAAACAAAAGCTCAAAATGCCGAGGGGATTTATTAATTAAAACTACAAAACACTAATCTATGCACCGGGCTTTGAGGGAACACGGAAGGCAACATAAATCTCTTTTAGTTTATCGAAGCCTGCTAAGACTCCAGCACCGGCGATCCCGCGAAGTATGTTGGCAAAAGTGCCCTTCATAAAAGACATCGGTCCTTCATTTCGTAATATTTTCATGGCACAATCAAGGGAACTTTTGTATTTGACGGCTTGAGCTAACAGAAGTTATTTCAGAAGAGCTTAATTACTTGAAGTCATCATAAGTCGCCTTCGGACCGTATCAATGGGGTATGCCATAGTCTCCGAAATTATGGTGACTGCATAACCAAGCAAAAAGCTAACTGTTAAACCTGCATTTTCACCTAACGCAATGGGCTTGATAGTGTCGTACAAGCCGAAATAGAATCCTCTATACACCACAATACCAACGCACGATAAGCAGAAGCCACGGTACAGTCCAGCAATTCCATCAGATTTAATCGTTTTTCTAAATAAGTAAATTAGATAATTAAAGATGAGTACCTTACACATAAACATCAGTAAGCCCTTTAAATTCTCTGGAACTTCCTTTCGAGGCAGCAAGGGCGTCGTTCGCCAACCTGGTGCGAGCATAATCCAGAGAGTATACAAATAGTAGCGAACCAGCACCAGCAGCACCACCACTCGCGACGTTTTTGTAGAACGCTACGCCGTAGGTATCCGTCTTTTGTGGATTAAACAAAGCCTTAATGTTGTCCTTGAATGCAAAATTCAAAGCCTGCGTAGGGAAATATCTTATGCAGTTCGGTACATTTCCGCGCCAGAATGGCAATACACCTAGAGAACTAAGCAAGGCAATTCCACTCACCTTCCGTTTTGAAAGTACGTACGGTGCAATCAATCATTCCGAGATACGGCCTATCCAAACGGCCTTGTTTCATCATTTCATCTTGGTTCTGAATCATAAGCTTTACCCTTTCGATTGGTGCAGAAACGGTCTTAGATATTACAGCCGCTGTCCCGCTGAGAACTGAGGTTTCAAGAAAGTTCAGCTCAACATCTTCAACATTGGATGTGGCCATTTTCAATCACACCAAATGGTGGCTGGAGCCACCGAAACACCTGACTAACTGATACTGGGCCCAAAATATGCTGTGTGATTTGGTACAGTCAGCTGTTGTCTGATGCTAGTGGGCCATTAAGTGATGAAAATGGATAACAAGTGCTAAATGCTTGCATCTACATTTGCATATGCATATGGCCATAAATTTACATGGTATTGTTCCATCAATGTTAGGTTTTATTCTTTTATTACATCCTTAGCTTATATCACTACAGTAGTGTGTTTACTATATTTTAACCAATTATTGTCGTTAGAGATATTGAATTATATCATTACATAACGTTTATTAATTGCGTGGATCTAACCGCAGTATATGGTCTTAGCTTTCCTTACAATGTTAGTGCAAGGTTAAAGTTACTTTGGTTATGTCATTATTTCAGCTCTTACTGTTTTTATAAGGCCTTCCTTATCATTAACATTTTTAATAATTTTAGCATCCTCAGCTACAAATCAGTCATTGATGGTTCAGCTGATTCTAAGAACATTCACTTCAAAAATTTTCCCGCCAGTTCGTTGGTTACGAGTTCAGATTCAGATGGATTGGAACGATAGGAAAATCCATGGAGTGTTCCTTCTTGAGCAAATCCTTGAGCCAGGAACTACTAAGGTGCTAGGCCTTGATTTCTCTCTTGCTTTCGCTTTAGCCTGTACCATTGATTTCTCTTCTTATCCTTTGCTCACTTCACATGACTGCCACAGCAGTGACTGATAGGGCATTAAATGTGGGTATTAACTGGTTGGCCAGGGTGCGATAAGGGTGTTCCGTTTTAGATCCATCAATAACTGAGCACTTCAACAATTCTTGGCTCAACCATACACACAAGATGGAACCCTCACGGGATTCTCCTATCGTTCCAGTCCCATCTAAACTGAACTGAACTGAAGTCAAAAATTAAATTACCCGTACCACACCCTGGTCAAACATTTACTACCCACGTTCCCTGCACTAGCAGTCCCCGTTGTGTAGGTTACGTGAAGTAAGGAAGACGTAGAAGGTAAATGGAAGATAAAGGAGAATGAAAGTCATTTAAATGAAGGATAACACCACAGCGTGAAAAGCAAGACAGAATAAGAACTAAAAGCTGGAAGATGGTTATGACCAGGAGAAGGGAAGTTAACGTGTTGCCACCCAAGAGCGTCTAACTGACGCTCGAAACCCTTAACCGTAGATTCACCAAGTACATTTTCTGGAAGCGACTTCCATCGCTCGATAACTCTACGCCATAACAGAGTCTTCGTTGTGATCCGGTCATAACGCGGCTTGTGTAGCTTCATGGGATGACCGCGAAGAAAGGGCAACGTAGCCGGGCTAAATAGCCAGCTCAAGTCTGGTCCAACCTACTCTGTTAATATGCGGTAAGTAAGGATTAGGTGTCCTCGAGGCCGTCGGTAATGCACTGAATTATACCTAATCTCCGTAGACACTCGGGGTACGATTGCCTTCGTAATCCCTCGACCAGTTTGGTACCTACGCTCAAAGCCCTCTCGAGCTCCATTTTGTCCCGAACAAGGCAGGGCGGGCAAGCCTGGACGCAGTATTCCAAATAAGGCCGGACGAAAGCTGAGAACAGCTTCACAAATATGTTGGCAGTTAAGACCCCGAAAGAACGGCGTATTAACCACAACATTCTGAATCCCCTACTAGCGGCCTTCTTCCAGTTGTCACCAGAATGCAAATACGAGGAATGAACGACACCTAGGTCTACCTGGTTGGAGACGAGGGGGAGTTCGACCTCACCGTATACGTAGCTCGAAGGTGGGAAAGTTGCTCCTATACGAAGGACGGAACACGTAGCCTGATTTATGGGTAGTAGCCACAAAGTAGACCAGTCCCAGAGTCTGTCCAGTGCATGCTGTGTGGCCTCAGAACCCCCAGGAACATTTACGACATTCCATAGCTTAAGGTAATTAGCAAACTATAGGGATGATACTTCAAGCTCACCCGGGAGATCGTTTACTTACATAAAGGACAGCATCGGTCCAAGGACCGAGCCCTGTGGGACACCGCTATGGACCGCCTGCCTAAAGGATAAGCTGCGACCCGAACGTACACACTGCTCTCTTCCCTGCAAGAACACAGATAAGCAGTGAAGGGCGCGGCCAGATACGCCGTAGGAGCACAGCTTTTGTGATAGCCTCAAGTGGGGTACCTTATCAAATGCTTTCGAGAAGTCCACAAAAACACATACACTATGTGGCCATTGTTCAATGCCTCTGCCCAAGCTTCACTAGCAGCCAACAAATTCGTCAGACACGAAAACCCTTCCGGAATCCATGTTGTGCACTAATGAGTAGATTAATTCTATCCAGGTGACCCTCCAACGAATCTCGCACCAGCTTTTCAAGCAGTTTGTCCACGATGATAGTCAGCCTGACTGGCCTATAAATGGCTGACAGACTCCAGTCGCCCCTTTCGAAGATTGGACAGATGATAGCCTCCTTCCATTCAGAAGGTAATGTAAGCTGTCAAGTGACTTCGGAAACACCATCGTCAGCGGTCCACTTAGTTCCACCGCCAACTCATGCAGAAGCTTCGGGTGAATTGAAGCAGGTCCATCGGCTTTCGAAGGGTTTAGTACTTGCAGCAGTTAAACGATTGCGTCTCCACCACAGTAAACTAAACTAAGTACGAACCATCAGGTATTCTGGGGACAAGTTCAACGCTAGTCAACGCGGCCTCACGTACGAAAGCCCCTGCATACTGCTCTCCAAGTGCCCGAGCCTTATCTGAGTCCGCATACGCACGAGTTCCATCGGCCCGCTTCAAAGTTGGGATTACCGCATTTGAACCACAGCGTCTCTTAACCTAAACGAAGCACTTCTTCGGATTTTTCAAAGCTCCATCAGCCAATATCATTTCGTACAACAGCCGAGCTTTCCTGAAGTGTTTTGTACACCTATTTCTAGCTTCACGGTATCTATCAAAGGTGCTAGTTTTTGAAGCCATACAGTAGTTCCTCCAGCATTTAGAACGCTTCTGGAGCAGGTACTTGTCAGTTGTAACTATCCACGGCGGCCGCGCTCGTGTCTCCTTTCTCCTCACTTGCGGGATGTAGGGAGTAGACACTTCCGTAAGATAAGGTTTAAATTTATCCCAGGCCGCTTGAACCTTAGCAACCACCGAGATTTCGCAACGCAACCCAGAAGCCTTGATACGCATTGCCTGCCAGTTAGCACGTCATATGTTTGGAAAGGGCTTGGCAACGTTCTGGTGAGCCTGGTCAGAGTACACCTGAAAGCTTAGGAAACATGCTCCCTAGCACCTCAAGGAGAGATGTACGGGATGTCACCTACGAAGTCTACTGGCTTGGCAAACACTAGATCCAAAATAGACGGGAGTCGCGCATCCGTGTATCTAGTGTTCCAGGCAGTGTTCCAGGACGTGGTGGGTCTTCATCTGGCAAGCATTTTCGCTAAAAAAGCCACAAATGTCTGTTTAACAACACTGCGACGTGGCGGAGGTGACTCGCCACTCAATAAAGGTAACCACCCCTAACACATTGGCAAGTTGACCGACATCACATTTACAAGTTCTGTGTTTATATCTGCTCTCGCACGAACACGCCTACATATCACATTAGGGACATGCCACTATTCTTAAATATTTTACACACCTTTCCTCATACTTCACTCACTGACTTACACTGCGTACGGGACCCCATCGGATTAGTTCCTCATCAACATACCATTTAGTGATCTGCTTACTATCTCTACCTTTCGCATTCTGTGTACCTAGACTTCCTAAAACCTTTAGGCCCTATGGGCCCACACTACTGTCCCTAACTGTACTACGCCCACGGCTGGTGCTGCTTATTCTGCTATCATGTGCAGTATTGCAATATGCTGATCATGCCCAAAAGGCGCGTCTCGCCTTGTCGAGAATAAAATATTTATTTATTTATAGTGGGGAGGTCCACCATCTGATGCAACAGTACTTGTAGCGTAAGCTCATGTAGGTGTGCACCGAAAGTACCTTCTGCCGAGTTGCAAGAAAGGTTTACCAAGCAAAATTTGGTAGCTTGAAATCACCCAGTAGCAAACACCTGTTTCCGGAATGGGAGTGAATAAAGTCAACCACCTCTTTGGACGAACTCCCCGCGCTTCCATACACAAGTGCGACTGTAACTTGAGCTGAGGAAGTGCTAATCACTGCCGACAGGGCTTCGAAAGTTTTATTTGCCGACTGAAACATGTAGGTACTGAAAGGTCAAGTTCACCTCTAACGTAAAGCGCAACGCCTTCGCCTTGTCGGCCAACGCAGCGAGCACATCTAAATAGTGCGTGGTCAGACAGCTTTACTCCACCGTCCGTGATGTCTCAAGACGGCCACATTTCAAAGAACGCGAGTATTTCGGGATGAGACCCAGCTAAAAGCGGGCCTATCTCGCACACCTTATGCATTATGCATCACACATTGCTTAGCACTAGCTGAAAGTACTCTTAAAGTCCATCCATAGGTCGTGCGCTAGCAGTACTGACACTGGTAAGGCGGAAACTGGCCGCCGACTTACAACCCGAAAACCCACTAACCGGAGACCATGTTCACCGGCCGATCGCCTGGTTTTGAGGTCCTTAACGGTCTCTTTTAGCCTCAGCCTCTCCGCTACTGGGAGGTCTTGCTGAATGCTAACATTAGTACCCTTCAGTTTGAAGGCAAACCGCAACAGGGCGTTGCGTTCCCCCAGAGTGTATAGAACTACCCGAAGTAAGTGCGGTCGAAGTTGTGGGGCATTAACTGGGACGTTACCCAAGCTAGTCTGTTTCCTGACAATAACATCGGGAAACCCAGGCGGAAAAATCTTCGTTACGCATGTCTCCAAACACTGTAGGTCGCCGAATGTCCGTTCGGCAAGAACTACAGCAGTGGTTTCTACTGTGTTTAGGTATATCACGCTGCTACTCATGAAAAATCACCTCGACGTGGTGTATTTAACCCACGGGTTTTGGAGTTTACCTGAACGGCGACCGGCTTAGCCGCAGGAAATGAGACTGGGCACAGGTACGCAGACGATATTGAACCAGCTGTAGCGTATGTCCGACGCGCCAACTTGTTTGTCCCGTCATTCTTAACGTTT